TACATACTTATTTGATACTGATTTGAAAAAAATAAAACTGCCTTAGTTGCATTAGGAAATACAGCAGAATATCGTGTATAATACGCACATTATTTTCTTATAATTTAGCATTAAAAAATGCGGGTGCGTATAATAATTAATGATTTAATTTAATAATATACATGTTAGTAGACTTAACAAAACAAATTCTGGCAGCTACCCGGACGTACTAAAAAAAGCTACAATAATACCAATTTTTAAAAATAACGAAAAGGATAGACCGGAGAACTACAGGCCGATTGAGATAACATCAGTGTTTGTCAAAATAGTGGAAAAAGTAATCCACAAAAGATTAAACGATTATATAAATAACAACAACCTGACTAATCGACGGATTCCAGGAAAAGTCGAGTACGGTTGCGGTGCTGCTGGACTTGACTACGGAGATTAGAAGAATTCTGGACAGCCATATGAGTGCTGTTGCGGAGTTTGTAGATCTAAAAAAAAGCTTTTGACATGGTCCACAAAGGCAGATTGCTCCAAAAGTTTGGGAGTGGTTGGTCGGGAGGCAGCGCTGTTTGAGTCTTACCTTACAAGTAGGGCTCAGCGAGTAAAGATGATGAGTACAGAGAGCTCTGAAATGTGCTGTGAATATGGGGTCCCCCAGGGGGAAGTCCTTGCTCCAACGAGATACAATATCTATACAAATAACATAGCCAACATTGAGTTAGAGGGAAGCATATACACGTATGCTGACGACACATGTATTCTGTATGGACACAGGGAGGAAACGGCGTTGCAGAACAGCATCAACAACGACATAATTAAACTACAGACATGGTACGATGAGAGTCTATTAACAATAAATGAGACTAAACCACACTACATCATCCTACAACAAAAAAATGCTGGAAAGATGTAAGTAAACATCACCATAAACAATATCAGCATAAAAAAAGTAGAACAAGAGAGATACTTGGGAATACTGCTAAAAAACAAACTGCGATGGGATGACCACATAAGCTTACAAAAAAAATGTTACACCAATTGGATGTGTGAAAAAATAAACAAATTTCTCCCGGATATGTGCAAGATGGCAATGTAACAAAACAACAAACAAAGCTAAAAAAATGTTTTCAAATAGCACAGACAAACATACTAATACACAAAATAGTAAAAATATTAAGACGCCTATAGGCCTGTCTTTCGGCTGCAACACACACGATCATAATACGAGAGCTAGAAGAAATATAAGAATGGAACGAAATACAACTAACATAATGAACAGGTACAGGGTACAGGGCATTGCACAGTACAACATGGTTTCAGAGGAAATAAGAATAGAAAACGACATAAAGAAGTTCAAAATAAAAATGATGTGTTGATGCAGGGTCGCGGGACGAAGACATAGAACATGGAAAACCAACAAGCCTGCTCAAAATACCGGTTCCAAGGAGCGTACCGAAGCTGAGAGGCATACACATAAGGAAAATAATAATAAATAGTGTAAAAATTGTATATAAATCATAAAAAAAAATTCAATAACGAACAAGGCTTTTTTTAACTTTGTCATATGGTGACAGCTGTCATTTTGCGACCCATTTTGATGTGATCCAATTTTGGGTCAGGTGCAATAGGTTGAGAAACGCGGCTGTACATCATTTATATTTAAGAATTTTATTTTATTTTTTTAATTAAAAGTAAAAGTTTTTTAACATTTGGTAATATTTTTTATTAACCGTAAAACTGGCAAATTCATTTACTGTAATTAGCTAAAAAATGTGTTTTTCTTCTTATTTTGATTTCCTTTGGTGAATTATAAATGTACTCTGATATTCATTATTTTTGTTTAATAAATGTTTTATGTATATAACTTAACCCTTTAGAGACGGTATTCACTGGATGATCATTTGGATTTTTTTTTGCACCATCCACTGAATACCATAGTTAATTATTGAACAATGAACAGTTTTAATTAAAATAATAAATGTACAGCATGTATGGGCGGAATGAGGGGAGCTGGTAATATAATTTCGTTTTTAAATTTGTGGGAATAAAACAAATAAAAACAAAGTTTGCATAGTGGAATGTGACATTCTTTGCACATGGTTTTGGTACGTGTATTAGCATCTAAACACCTACTACAACGTCTTCTGGTAGAGCCTTCTACAGGTTTCTTTTATTGGTAATCGCTTATTCCTTTTTCTTTCTTCAAAATTTCGTGTCACTCATAGGTACATATACAAAGAGGGTGAGAATGGTTTCTTAAAATATTCCAGTGATTTTAAGTTCCTCTTTATATCGGAATGAACTTTACAATTACGTTTATCAGGAATACTGTATTTAGGAACGAAGGTTCTGACCGTTAATACTACTGGTGCACATGTGCACCATACACCAGACCGATTGGTACATATGTGTACGGCTATGAATTGATGCATAATACATTATGAAAAACATTGCAAATTACAAAGCACAAAACAATTTAATTTTTTTCAATACAAAACCTGCTAGTGCAAATACGCACCATTTACAATGCAATTTTTCACATGTACATGGAGTACAAAATAAAATTTTGATTGGTTATAGTTGCGTATAATATATGAATTGTATACAGATTTCCTAATCGAGAAATCAAGTGTGCATGTTATGTTGTAGATGATTGTGCATTATATTCAAGAATTTTCGTTAATAGACAAACACATTTTAATTATATTTTAAAACAAAAATATAACTTAATTTTTTTTTAATAAAACTTTATACATATAATTATTTTAATCGCTTTGTATGATGTTATAGAATAAATGTTATTTATTTTTCTTAATTTAAATTGATAATTGAAAATATTTAATTGAAAACTGATGGGTAGAATTTCTTGCAACTCACATAAGCCTGCAACAAGTGGATGTGTCTATTGTACTTGCATACATTCATTCAAAATTTATATTTAGGAAACTGTACAATTCAAAGCATTGATATTACAAAATTTTTATTCAGGTAGCTGTACTAAAATCAAGGAAGTAATTGTATGTAAGTAATTATTGTTGATGACATTTCGTACGAATAAATATTTGTAATATGTCAGATTCAGTTTTACACTTTACAGGTTGGCAACGCATAAGTGCGATTTTAAAAAAATGCAGAATTTACATCATTTTCTAATTGTTACTCACGAAACATCAAGAATCTTAATATGAGAAGCATAGTCTCAACAGAACCTTTAAAGACGATCATGGTATTAGTCAAAATGTTAAAGTATCTACATTGTCTAAGAAATTACCCCAAGAATACCAACTATTATAATAAACTTGTTTAAAACCAATTGAATTATTTAATTTCTACAACTTTGTCCAGAATTCCATACCCACAATAGACTAGAACAAACCGTACCAATAGACATGATACCATGGCGTAAGAAACTGAATTTCAGATTGATTGAGGTGGTTAACAAGGACACAGAGAAGAGATGGATTGTTATAATATATAAATTCCTATTTATTGACTTATTTTACGTACATCGCAAAGAAAACATGAATTTTGAGATATTGCTTCAAATGTTATACCGATCTTACAAAAGGGTTAAAAATTACATTATTTAAAACTCGTGTAGAATACGTGTATTATATTTTTTTCATTTTCAATATTGAATAATACAACGTACAACTTTAAGAGTAATTAAAAGTATTTGTCATAATCGTTTGCTTTTTAATTAAAAGTTTAAGTTCTGTATACGATTAATATTTTAAATTTTCTCGTAATTAAAAAAAATATGATATTCTAAACGGTCATAGGTATTATGAATTTTAAAATTGTCAATTGATAAAAATGAAATAAATTTGAATAATTTATAAGTAAAGCAATAATTTAAATATATCTTGCGATAAAAACAAGAAAGAAATATTTGTTGTTGGTAAAATTTTAAATGTATAAATATTTGTCCATTGTTTGGCTCAGCTTCATTTCAATTAAAAAATATACTTTTATGGGAAACTGTTACAACTATAAATACTATAAAACTGACAAATTAGAGATATTATCAGCTGACGCAATATTTGAAATACGAAGCAATAATTACGACATTGTTATAAACAAGTAAACAGAAAATATTATCATATTTTCTACGTATAAATATGTAATTCAATCAATTGATAAATTGTTGCTTTTATGCTATAATGATGTGGCTATATCGATTAAGTAATAAATAATGGAAATAACTAATTCGTAGAAATAATTGTAATACAACAACTTTCTTTATGCATCAATTCTTTAGAAACAATTAAACATTTATTTTTATGATCACTTTTTATACTTAAAAATATATTTGTCGAATGTCTAAATTTAATGATAATTTTATAATGATACTTTGATAGGAAAACGATGATTAACAAAGAAATAATTAAACAAAAGAAATAACTATTAGCCAAAAAGATAAAGGTCATGGCCAGATGTATATATTTTTATAAAAATATTGTAATTTATATTTCCTGAACGGAATTTTTCATTATAATTGTATTCATCCGTTCTAATTTTTGTATTTTTATTTATTATTAATAAAAAATGTTATTGATTTAGAAATGGAAATACTCGTGCAGCTAACGTTGTCTAAGAAACGAACAATGAAACTGTCCAAATACGAACTGTTATCAGAGATCAAAGGAAACAAAGCGTTTCCATGGAAATGAAAATCGATTCATTGACTAAGAAAAGTTCTTTAAGGTTGCGTATGCGTTGTCGTCGTTATTTTTTAATTTCAATGACAGTCGAGAGTTAAAGGTGTTGCTTGTTTGTTTCCATGACTCTGTGTACACGTCTCTCTCCTTTTCTGAATTGTTGGAAAACCTCAACCTCTCACAACGCCGCACCGTTTTGGTGTCGACCCTCGACGCAAATTGTAGGCTCACTTAAACGCAATTACCTGATCATTCTATTTTTATTCGCAAGGTTTTGAAGGAATTAAAACAATTATTTTTGTTGATTTATTATTTTTTGTTTTCTTTTATTTTTTTATTACTTAATCGTATGTAATTTACTTATTGTTTTTACTCTTTTTTGCTTTTGTTGCTCTTGGCTTTGCAGCACTTCTCGCTCTTGGCACAAGATTTCCTGCACTTGATGCACTTATAGAGGAGAACCGGTGGGATTAAGGCAATCAACGCAAGGAAGGCCACCACGTCCAGCATAAGGTACTTATAGATGGGCAAATCAGTGGCGGCGGTTCTCAAGAACGTTGCGTCACCATTCCTCACCAGATACTCGACCCAGAAGACGGCCAAGTCCAAGGGCTTCATGGGACTATCGCGCATCATCTTCGACCTTCGCTTAGCGATCTTTGAGAACCTGAGTAAAAGCGTGGAATTAATTATTTTGAAAATGTTCTTGTTGTTGTGTTTTCTGTGCAATTACTTGGGGTTTTTGGTGATGGTATTAAAGGCTTCGGTCAGAGAAGCCTCGTTCAGGTCGTCGAAATCAATTTGAATAGCGAAGCCATTCTTCACGTGCATCTGCATATTGGACATTTGATCTCCGAAAAAGGGAACTCCGATTAAAGGAATTCCGAAGTAGACAGCCTCTATGGAGCTCAAGAGCCCTCCGTGCGTTAAGAAAACTTTAACGTTAGGGTGACCTGAAAGTCCAGTTTTAACTTAAAATGAAGTTATTGAAAATCACATAAACACTTTACTTAAAATTTCTTGCTGAGGCATCCACTTTTGGATCATGACGTTCTTCGGCTTTCCCTCCAATTTATCATCTTCGTACTTCCAGAGTACCTTCATTTTCAGCTTGGAAAGAGCTCTGAGAATGCTCTGGACTTTTTCCTTTGGGAGATCTTTGCTTTTCACGTTTGTGCCCAAGCTGAAGTAGACTACACCTTCGGTCGCGTCGTCTAGAAATTTCTTAACATCACCAGGCATTTTGTTTTGTTTCGGGTTGACATGGATACCACCCACGTGAATCATCTGCGGAACTGTAGGCACGGGATCGTTGACGCTCGGATGAGAGTTCAGGAAGACCAAATCCACGTTGTTTTTGATTATGTCGGAAATATCGGGAGAGTCAGGGAAGTACTTCCTCATCAACTCTTGTTGATTAGGAATGTGCTTATACTTGTTAACCGTATTAATGAAGACTGTAAATAAAGCGTTGTGCATCCTCTGGAAAAAGGTCATGTCGGAAGAATAGGATAGGAACATGTTGGGAATGTATGAAGGGAAAGTGGGATTAGAGACTAAGTAGTTGCTGAAATCGCTTACACCGATGGTGCTGAAAGCTATGCATCTGGCATCGAAGTGCACGCAGAATCCCTTGAGGGCATCATTCATAAACTGCTCCAGCACGACCACATCGAACTTTTCATTCTTCATCAGATCCTGCACTCTGGGATGCTCGAAGAGCAGCTCGTTCTGAATCAGCATCACCTCGCCCATCCACATAAACATATTTTGAGGCGGCATGGTTCTCATATCGTTTATATTCACCTCTTCATTTTGTTGGTTCGCACGATGCAACTCTATAAAAACCAGTAAATGATCACATTTCGTGCTGTATAGACTTCCAACTATACACTTGTACCACCATTTTTGTTTACAATTGTTCTACTATATTATTATGATGCAACCAAAGACAATCGTATTCATCTTAATAAAAGATAACTTAACATAAACATAAAAAAGCAGATTTACATATGTGTGTAACCTACCTTCGAGTTTAGCTTGGACGTCTTCCAAATAGATATTCTTGTACGTCGTGTTTTTATCGTAAGCGCTGATGAATGTAACGTCATGCCCTTTCTTCACCAAACCCTCACAGAGTTCATGCCCTAGGATATAGTGGCTTTGTGAGGTCGTGGGGAAGATACATAGAATTTTGGCGCTGTGCGCCATAGAGCAGAGCCCCATCAGCAGCAAAGAAACGGACGTTTTCATCGTACGAAATTCGACTGGCAACTGAATCGGATGTGTGTATGTATACAAATTACAGCATCGTAACTGCCACTGGAATTTTAGATTAACGAAAACAGTTGTGTCAACGGACTATATCTGAGTTCTCCAATTGATTATAATGCTCATAGAAAAACACGTAGTACGCATATTTAATATCGATTTTATAATTCTAATTTATAAAAACTAAGTATAATAACTTAATTATTACACAATTAATTCGATCAATTCACATGGTTACGGCTAAATATAGTCGTTTATTTAATAAATATATTATTTGTCTGTGCGAATATGTATAGCTAATTGTATATTTTTGCATCCCTGTCTTCTGCCGTATCATAAATTAAGTTAGTAAAGCAAACAAAAGCGATGTTTGAATTACCACGGATAATCGGCATTTTAGTGTAATATATAATACAATTTTAACGGCTTTATAAAAAACTATTTTTTTTTAATAAAATTGTAAAATTCGCAATACTAAAATTTATATTTAAAAATTAACTACATAATTATTAACGTAAACCCTTCGATTTTGAAATCGCTTGGTGCAAATGTAAGCTATTTGAGGCAACCAATGAAAGTACAAAGAATGAATTATCTTTGTAAAGAAAATAATAAGATGTATTTCCACCAAAGACAAGTTTTATTAAATAAACATTCAATAAAATACAAAGTGAAATCACATTTCAAAATATGAGTCTGCAATCTTATTATTTTCTCTTTTATTAAACAATTTTCTAAACAGGGTTATTGCATTAACAGTGATCGTTTAACAATAACACTGTTTTAAAGATTTTTTGAAAAACCATCAACTTCAATAAATATCTCAATCGTTTTCATCGATATTTTCTAAACCTGATTGAGTAAATGACTTAATTTCTAATTTCTTGGATGTTATTTTCTTTTTCTACTACAACTTCTATCAAAATTTTGCGAGAATCTCTATTTAAACATTTCTTTCCAAGAAATATTAATGTTTTCTATCTACTATTCGATATCAATTTTTTATTTTTTTTTAACTTCATAGAGACTGGCCATTCTACCAATAAAATAAAGATATTGACTGGATGCACTATCTCCTGAACAAAGGCAAAGATAACTACATATGCAAATCACTATATAACTACTAGAACCTATAAAACATAGCCACAATACATCATGCTCATTAAGATGGATCAATAGTTCACCGAAGATGAATCATTTCGCACAACTACATAGAGACTGGACATTCTACCAATAAAATAAGGATATTGACTGGATGCGCTTTCTCCTGAACAAAGGCAAAGATAACTACATATGCAAATCACTATATAACTACTAGAACCAATAAAACATAGCCACAATACATCATGCTCATTAAGATGGATCAATACCGAAGATGAATCATTTCGAACAACTTCATAGAGACTGGCCATTCTACCAATAAAATAAAGATATTGACTGGATGCACTTTCTCCTGAACAAAGGCAAAGATAACTAAGTATGCAAATCACTATATAACTGCTAGAACCTATAAAATATAGCCACAATACATCATACTCATTAAGATGGATAAATAATTCACCGAAAATGAATCATTTCGAACAACTTCATAGAGACTGGCCATTCTACCAATAATATCAAGTGCTAAGCAACGAAAATTTGAATATAGAGAGTGTCAATGATAACACCGCCACACAAAAAAAGATATTAAGGCAGCAAATGGTTACTTCCTCAAGGTGGTCGGTAGGGACTCCGTCAAAATTCTCTCGAGGACCTCCGAGAACTACACGGCCATCAAGAGGATGCTAGAGAGTCAGGGCACGGCCTTCGACACGTGGAATCCCTAAAAAAGATATTGAACAATACGGTCATGAGGTAAAGAACATCATGAATATAAAGAGCCGTCACACCAAAGAACCGTTGCCGTTGTTCTTCGTGGAAATAGCCCCACGTACGAACAACAAGGACATACATAAAATCATTTATTTACAAAGTATGAGGGTAGTGATCGAGACGCCGCACCGCAGATACGTCATCCCACAGTGTTCGAGATGCGAGAGGTACGGACACACCAAGGGCTACTGCACTCTGAATCCGCGCTGTGTGAAGTGCGGCCAGAACCACCTCACCGCGGAGTGTAGAAAGGAGAAGACAACGGAAGCGACATGTGCACTGTGCAGCCGCAAACACCATGCCAACTACAAGGGCTGTACAGTGTACAAAGATATGCAGAGCAGGAAATTCCCGAAACTGAGGAAGAAGAAATTTCCACCGACCAGTGTGCCGTCTCAACCTCAGCAGCCCCAACCGAAGGAATACCCGAGGATAAAACCAGGCTTTTCCTACGCTGATGCGGCCAGAGACAGAGCAAACCACAAAAACACGCTGCCCACAAGCGAAGAGCAAGTCAAACCACAACAGGACCCGGTAGCACGGCTGGAGCTTACAATAGCTAAGCTATTTGATAAAATCGACACGCTACTCAATGTCGTGTTGGCTCTCGTGTCGAAGTTGACGTAATGGCTCAATAAATTTGCCTGGTCCTGTGGAATGCCAACGGTTTAGCTCAGCACAACGACGAGCTAAACGCTTTCCTCGCAAACCAGAGGGTGGACGCATCTCACGGACAGGAGCTATGTGACGTTTCCCAAATACACCCTGTTCAGCACTAACCACCCGGACGGAACCGCGCTCGGAGG